AAACGGGCCACTTGCGCCACCTCCAATGGTGCTCATGTTGTTTCCACTAGGAATACTGGCTTTCCTCATGGCATTGGCTTTCTCTCCAGCTAATGCTACAGAAGACATCTTGATTTACTCTTCCGTGTAAAAGATGAATCTGCATATGTGGAGTGGCTCCTGGTGTATATGGAGTCAGATTATTGAGTCTGAAAGGGAAAAACTTGATTCTAATATAAATATTGTGATGCCACTGTTGTATATTGTTCAAAATTAATAAAAGGAAAATGGAATAAGGAGAAAGAATTTGTAATGAGAAAAGAAAAAATTGAACCATGTGACCACATGAGCCTTTACCGGGACTAAATGTCCCGATATGGCTTGAACCATGAGGCCGTATGGTACAAAATTTCGGCCTTTTTGTAGCCACTTTTTACCGTTTGTTTTTTTAACTTGGTGCCTTTTCACTTGTTTTTTTTGGCACTATTTCATGCATTTGAACTTGGCCTATAAATAGGACATTGATGTTCAAGGCTTGACACAAGAAAAAACAATAGAAGTTCATATACATTCCAATCAAAGAACAAAACTTCATTCCTATTCATATTCAATAATTTTTCACAGTGTTCTTAAGTTTTGGTGAATTACACTTATTGCTTTAGTGTTAATTCATTTCAATGCTTGTTCAATCCTTCAAACCATTTACTGGAAAACCTTCAAGCATCAATTTCAATCCATAAAGGGCAAATATTGTTTGAGGATAGCGCTTTCACGTTTAGGATTTCGGTGATCATTTCATAACAATCAAGTTTGGTTCATTGTTTTCAAGTTCATAATTTGTTGATGCAATCTTGGTTTGTTCGTCTCCAACTTCGGTGCAATCATATTTTCCCCAACAATCTCAAACAATAGTCTTCGATGGAGAACAAAAGCACGATGGCAACAATCAAATTGATGAACCAAGATCTTGTTCGGTTGGATCGCTTCGATGGCACGAATTTCAAAAGATGGCAAGATAAACTGAAGTTTCTACTTACAACACTGAAGATCTTCTACATACTTGATCCAAATTTGACGCAATTACTGGAACCTACAAATGAAGAAACCGATGCGGCAAGGACTGAAAGATAAAACGACAAGAAGATGAACTTATATGCCGTGGTCACATTCTGAATGCTCTATCAGACCGGTTATATGATCTCTACAAAAATACTTCATCGGTAAAGGAAATCTGGAACGCTTTGAAGAACAAGTACAAAGCCGAAGAAGAGGGCACAAAGAAATTCCTAATTTCGAGGTATTTTGATTTCAACTTTCTTGAAAATATTCCCCCACTTCCCCAAATCCATGAATTGCAAGTACTTGTGAACAAGTTGAAGACGGTAAAGATTGATATTCCGGAAACTTTCCAAGTGGGGGATATCATTGCTAAACTTCCCGGAACTTGGAAAGGATACTGGAAGAAAATAATGCATAGTTTTTAAAAACTATTCTTTGGAACAATTGCAAAATCATCATCAGATTGAAGATGAATCAAGGGTAAGAGATAAGAATGATAATTCTTATGAAGGTACATCCAAAGCCAATGCTGTGGAGAAGTCTGAGTCGTCTACTAAAACAAACAAGAGAAAGCCTTCAAAGAACTTTAACAATTCCAAGAAGAAGACCAAAGGTAGTTATTTTGTATGTGGCAAATCTGGACATTATGCAAATGAATGTCGATATCGGAAAAAGAACAACAACGAAAGAAAAGTGCACTCCATCAAAGAAGACAA